TGTTGATACTGTGTCCGAACTATCTTTGCTTCATTGTTTCCTGGATGTGATCGACTCGGCTTTCCTTTGTGACTGGTTGTGAGGATTCTGTGGAGCGAATTGCACTTTCAGTGTTTTCTGCCATATTGCATGGATAAGTCTTCCGCTGTGTGTCTCTCTCCCTGTGTGGTGTGTTACTCCCATCCTCTCCCCTTCCTTCTGTGTATTTATGGGCATGCCTGGAAGTCTATGTGAGCGAGTGTTGGTCTTCTGACAACAAGCAACCAGGATCATAACACGATCCTAACCTACTTCTTCTTCTTCTTCTTCTTCTTCTTTTTCTTCTTTTTTTTCTTTCCCCTCCCCTCCCCCCCTAACCTACTACTTTCGATTACTACCTAGGCTATTCCTACCCTCTAGTTCACAGACCTCAGAAACGGTCTGATACTTGGCCCAATCGGCCCGAGAGGATCTCTTGTTGCATTTGAGGGACCTGACACTCTTCTACCCACCCCACTCTGCACGGTATATTGTGGCTGCCGACTGGAACGGAGTGTACCTGGTTCTTGCTGAAGAAAACCAAGTCCACAAGGCTGCAAATCCACACAAGCAAGAAAAAGAACCGACTGGAACCGAGTGTACCTGGTCGTCCACAAGGCTGCAAATCCACACAAGCAAGAAAAAGAACCGACTGGAGCCAAGTGTACCTGGTTCTTACTGAAGAAAACCAAGTCCACAAGGCTGCAAATCGACACAAGCAAGAAAAAGGAGGAGACAAAACCGCAACCTGCTAACTACTCTACTCCACTATGCCCTGCCTACGCAATCCAATTCCCCGGCACCGACTTCCCTTCTGGGAGGTGTGGGCCAGACCCAGGCCCCAGGTGCTGGTAAACCATCTGATGAGACCAGAAGGGCAATCCCGTTGTGCCACTTTCTGAGACCAATCAGCTCCGATAGCCGCTGCCAGCAATACTTTGAAGGTTGCTTCAGCTTGTTTCGCCGGAATGCTCGCTCACTGAAACCTGAGACTGTTCTGGTCTGGCCAGATGATCCAAAGCTTAATTGCCCTTCCCACCTGGGCTACATAGCCCCAGCCAGGGCCGGCCTTCTGTGCAGCCATATTTCTGTGGGAGAGCACCTAACGGGACCCAACTCTGTCCCAGGAGCTCCGATCTCCCAGCGAACCTCTTCCAGTGGAATTCCCACCCTCTCCGCCACTTCCTGGACCAGTGACACTCCCACCATAAGTGCTGCACGGACTCCGGCGTAATTGCCCTTCTCACCTAGGCTACATAGCCCCAGCCTTCTGTGCAGCTATAGTTCTGTGGGAGAGCACCTAACGGGACCCATCTCTGTCCCAGGAGATCCGATCTCCCAGCGACCTCTTCCAGTGGAATTCCCACCCTCTCCGCCACTTCCTGGACCAATGACACTCCCACCATAAGTGCTGCACGCACTCCGGCGTAATTGCCCTTCTCACCTGGGCTACATAGCCCCAGCCTTCTGTGCAGCTATAGTCTGTGGGAGAGCACCTAACGGGACCCATCTCTGTCCCAGGAGATCCGATCTCCCAGCGAACCTCTTCGAGTGGAAGTCCCACCATCTCCACCATTTCCTGGACCTAGGACACTCTCACCATATGTGTTGCACCCACTCCTGCGCTTCTTGACATCTGTCACACAGAGCCCTGACTTCCATCCCTCTGTCCCTCAGCCACTGAGAGGTGGGGACCGCAAAGTGGGATTGTAGCCATAGCAGGGATGCACGTTTCTGTGAGGGGAGCACTTGCAATTGCGACCAAAGTCTGCAGAGCTCCACTCGTGAAGGAGGGGACAGGTTTGGCAACTCTCTTTACCAGCGAGTGGCCGCTTTGCCGCAAATGGGGGCAGATTGGTTTTTCCGTCTAAGAATGACACATGCATTCGAGTTCTCCAAGCCTGTTGCCAGCTTCCCCTCAACCTGCCAGCTCCTGCTATGGCAACAGTCCCTGCTATAGCGTGTACCTTTCCATGTTCTAGAGGAGGACTCGTTTTTTTTTTGTTTGGCGCTTTTTTGGCCGGTAGCGGAGCCAGGGCGTTTGCTCCACAATTCTCCATAGGCACAAAAGACAAAAAAGAAATCCGTGTTCTAGAGGAGAACTGGAGGAGAACATGGAAAGGTACACGGACGATTTCTTTTTTGTCTTGTGCATTTGGAGAGTAGTGGAGCAAAGGCCCTGGCCCCACTACTACTCGCCAGATGTCCAACGCGAGAACAATTCCTCTTTTTTGGGGGGGCCAGGGGGCGGAAGGAACGAACCCTCCTGTACTCCATGGAAAGATGCACCGCCAAATTGTTTCTCTGACGGCTGCCGTCTAGATGTGATCATCGAACTCACCGTCCCGGGTACTTCGGAATTGTAGGTTTTTGCTCATCTGCTTCCAGTGGAATTCGAACGGTTCAGGGGCGTACCAACTTAGGGTGCATTCAAACTAGCACTTAAATGTACCCGGCCGCATTTGGCCGCGGTTCCGTCCAGAAACAAGTAAAAAAATGGATCGTTTCTCGATTTATGTGTGTCATCCTTGTGCAGACAACTGGACAAAAAGGTGCAACTGATCTATCTGCAGTAGCGTTGCGTCTCTTTTGCAAGGGAGGTGACCGTTAACATTATCGTATGTGCCAGGATTTGAACTGATTATCTGTTTATCAACAACAGCCACCCGCGTGTACCGTTCAGTTGTTGGGGAGGTAGCCTGCCATCTCTCTTAGACCTCCTCGTCGCCTTGTTCCAGGCTACCGTCGCTCGCCTTGTTCCATGGATCACGACTGTGTACAAGCAGGGTGTGGGTGGGTTCGGTAGCGAGTTGGTGAAAAGGCACAATGTTGTCACGCTGTTTTGATGTTGGGAACGGGGAAAAAACTCAGAAAATGGGAAAAAGGAAGGCCTCTGAAAATCCGGAAAAGAAAGAGCAACAGACGAGGTGAGCGGCCTGCCGTCTGTCTTAAACCTCCTCGTCCCCTTGTTCCATGGATCATGGCTGTGTACAAGCACGGTGTGGGTAGGTCTGGTAGCAGGTTGGAGAAGGCACAATGTTGTCACACTGTTTCGATGTTGGGAACGGGGGAAAACCTCAGAAAATTGGAAAAAGACCCCCCCTTGAAAATGCTGAAAAGAAAGAGCTTCAGACGAGGTCAGCGGTCTAGCTCAGTTGATAGAGCACGGAAGCGGCATTCAGGAGGTTGTGGGTTCAATTCCCCATGTCTTCCATCAGAAGCCCCACGGCCTCCTGCAGTGCACAGCGGGGGTTCACCAGCTGAGATAGTCAGCTCTTATGGTTGGTTGGTCCTTTGGTAGGGGTATGCCTTCCCCCTCCCACCCATCACCAGGGGTTAGGAGCCTGGGTACTATTTCCCACAAAGAGTAGAGCTTGCTAGGGAGGATGGCATGAGGAGGACACACATAGTAGAGCTTGCTAGGGAGGATGGCATGAGGAGGACCCAGTTGGTCTGTCTGGGTACTATTCCCCGCACAGAGTAGAGATTGCTACGGTGGATGGCCTGAGGAGTACCCAATTGGTCTGTACTGCAAAAAATGAGAAAATTTTGAAAAAAAATAAAAATACAGCTGTAAGGGAGCCATCCCCCGATAAGGAGAAGACAGCTTTTGAAAAAAAAAAAGAAAAAAAAAAAGAAAAAAAAAAAGAAAGAAAGAGCTTCAGACGCCCACCTCCTCTGTCTTCGAAGGGGCATAACCACTAACATTGTCTTTATCAGATCTGATTCATCTGAATGATTCTGTCGCAAATGCGGTACATATGGCTGCCACTGCCTGGCCTGACCCCAACCACAGCTTGGTAGTCCCAAGGGTGGGTGAAATCAAGCGTACACCAACGGCCCTAGCTCAGTTGGTACACCCCCCCTGGACTGTTGAAGTACAGACTCAAGTTCGAATCCAGATACCTTCAGATGAAGAGAATAAATAATTTTTTGCTGAATTGCGTGCGGCGGGTCAGTTCAATGATGATATATAAAGACCGTCGCCCTTTTTTTTTTTTTTTTTTTTTTTTTTTTTTTTTAAATCCAGCGTATGGTTGTGATGGGGGGTTCAGCCGTTGGCAATGGCGTTTATGATGTAGTTATGGATTTGCTGCTTCCCTCCATGTTCACCCGAATGGAACGACTCGGCATTGTAGCCGTACTTGGTGCAACTTTCAGTCTAGATACAGCAATATTGGCTGGGCGTTCTATTTGGGTGAAGAAGGTAGTTGAGATCAATGGTCAGTAGCAGCCTGCCAGCCTCCCGGTTGAGGCCGGTCGTCAGTAGCAATGGGCCTGAAACTGCTGTTGCAGCTTTGTGCAGTTTTGCTGTCCTTTTTTTTTTTTTTTTAATTACTTCGTAACTGTTTTCTGAATTACTCATGGCTTCACCAGTACCTTCCACCTGACTTGCGGTTGAATGGTACATACTACATATATGTAGGTCATGAGTTCAAATCCTGATGTAATCAGATGGAGAGAATTTCTGTCTTCACCTTCTGACGAGTTTGTTGTCATGCACTTGCAGCTTCAATCACCGACCTTCACCGATGGAAATGGACAGTGTTGCGATTGCATTCCGCCCGGTATTGGGGAGCATGCTTTCGGCGATCTACCACTGCAGCCAAAACACGGAATCGAATCAGGAACGGCTTCAGCGTATCCTGCTTTTCTGGGGTAAGATGGAGTTCTACGACAGAGATACCATCGCAGCCCTGGAGCATGAGATGGTCACTGGCGTGCCATCCGCGTACTCTGTTGGTGGCGCCGGCCATGCTTCATCGTATGGGATAATGCCCCCTCATATGAGCTCAGGACAGGGATATTATGGCACACCCCACCACATGGGATGGGGGGGCGCTTACCTGTCGCCGGCGCATCAGCAGCAGCCTGGATCTGGTGCGCATCAACAGCAAGAGGAAGAGCAGCAACGGCGCGACGATCAGGAGGATGATCGAGAGGACAAGGGCGATGGCGGCGAGCGGGACCCAGAAAAGAAACGGCAGAAAATGGAGCAAGATTGGGAACTGGAACAGGAGCGGGGGGGGCAGGAGGATGCTGAGCAATCCCCTCCTCCAGGAGACGGATCGTGGTCTAATCAAGATTCAGCAGCGAGGTTGGGGGAGGAGCACATGGCGCGGAAGGATCATTATGATCGCTACGGTGATTCGCCGGAGGGTAGTGCAGGACAAGGCAAATACTACCCCCCTCCCGGGACAGTGACGGTGCCATATTCTGGAGGGTTGGCCGGCACCCCTGGTCTACATGCGTCGATGGGTGTAGGTATGGGTGTCAGCTTGAGCGGGTTCTCAGCGGGAATGGCCACAGCGGGTCCACCGAACGCGGGCGTTTCAGCGGGAGTGGTTGGTATGGTGCCAACGAGTATACCGGGGGTTGCAGGAATTGGTGGAGTTGCCGTGGTACCGCAGTCGGTGACCACGGGACCCGGAGATAAGCCACTCCCCTTCCCTCTGTTCCCACCGGGACTGATCCCCGGGATGGTGCGCAAGCTTCAAGTCGGAAGTGGCGTGCCGTACTCCCCGCTGAGCCCTCTCGACATTCCGCCAGTCATTCCACCGCCTTCAGTCCCTGAGTCGTATATTCTCGACCGCGTGCGGAAGTTTTTCAAAGAGGTAGGGGAAGTCGACCCCTTGGATGCCGATGAGCCGGAGAAGGAAGCAACCCCTGTCAGACAGGAGAGAGAGGAAGAGGAGGAGCCGGAAACCGATACCGGGCCTCTTGGTGGCCTAGGTTTGGGCATGATGATGGTTGATCCAGAAACAGGGACGCTACCCGATGGCAGCGTGGAGATCCGCCCGGGGATGATTTCCACTGGCAAGCTCGGACTCGGTGCATCGGCAGATCCAAACGAGATTACACAATATGATGACGTGTACTTGTCGTACAGAAAACAACGCAGCACCAATTACCACACGTCCCTGGGGCTAAGGGCAGGCATGAGGTGAACCATTGGCATTTATGCGGGGAGAGAGAGAGAGAGAGAGAGAGAGAGAGAGAGAGAGAGAGAGAGAGAGAGAGAGAGAGAGTAGGAGACAGAATGCATGTTTTTTTGGGGAAGTTGTAGCATGATCAGAATCTCAGCAATATGGCAATCTCCGCAGTGTTTGACTGTGGATCTGTAGTCTATATGTGTGCCCCCCTCTTTCCTGTGCCTTTTGTGTCTATCATGTGTGGGAGTGCTTGAGTGCTTGCAAGCAGGTATATCAAGAGTGCCGTGTGGGTGGTGCGCCGCCTTTGTTTGTGTATCCCCTCTTCCATAGCAGCAATTCTCACACAAAAGCTCCTACAGAAAACTCCCAAGGTCTAGGCGTGTCTCACGTACACAGAAAAAAAAAAAAGTGCACGCGTACAAAGAGTACAACAGGAGTACTAAATGAGCGTTCTACTCTGAACTACGCCACTCGCGAGGGAAATAAATTAGGACTTAGAACAAGTCCTAATGTAGAAGCTGTAAATAGACTCAAATAAGCAAAAAATCTGACATAACTCTGATCATGCGACATATAACCATGGCTATAGGACATAACTAATACTGCTACTCTTGGATTTTAGGGGGATTCTGTAGGGGTCCCCCCCCAAAAAAGAAAAACATGGGGGTGTGCCCCCGGCCGTATACTACGAGAATTTTTTCTTTTTTTTAGTTTTAATGTTGTGTTTTGGGGCCTTAGGTGTGAGAGAGATTTGTGAACGCGCATGTGTGCATGAGTGTGTGTGTGTGTGTGTGTGTGTGTGTGTGTGTGTGTGTGTGTGTGTGTGTGTGTGTGAGAGAGAGAGAGAGAGAGAGAGAGAGAGAGAG